TAAGGGTCATCCTTTTGTGGTTAGCTGTATACATGTAAAGATGTCGAGATTTTTTTAACTAAGACACGACGACACGAACTTGACAAAAGGCTCAAAAATAGGTATGCTTCATCTTAAACATTTGAATTATCTTACAAGTTGCATAGCTATAGGGCATGTAAATTAGATTTTTTTCCAATCACTATGGACGTTTTCAATAGAAAAATAGCTTCTTCAATGTTACTTTCTGAAACCTATAACCTTATTTAACTTGGAAACGAAAAAGAAGGTCTTCTATATACCTATATCACGGGCCTACTCCAATCAGGAAGCAAGTCCGATATGCTATTAATCACCTCACACATAACGGGAAGCATTCGCTAAACGAAGAAATCAAACGAAACAAAACCGTTTGTAATTTACCAGCAGATATTCTAAGATTTCATCACAACCAGACATTCGTGTTCTAGGGAATTAGTCTTGATTTGTTGGGGAAACTCTGGTTGACCGCCATGGCACAATTCTTACGGAGAACGAACGTATGTGGTTCAGTTGGATTGTTCTACGGGTTTTCGGTAGAACTGTTTTAAGAAATGGATGAAAACGTATACTTTCTTCACCTGAAGTGTAAAATGTGATGAGTTAGACCTGCGGGACAAAAAAAATTATGGTTTTAAACAGAAGACAATCTTTATGTTGGAAAGTTTCGATGGACTTCCTGATTCAGTTACTTAACGTATCATTTTGCGTTAGGATATTATTCTTTAAATAACTCTTTCGGTTCGGTTGTAAAGTTGAGAATGATAGATTTACAGATATATGAAATGAGCCCGAGGCAAATCACCAAACGAAAATGTACTGACCACACAAGATCTGTAAACCCAACAATACCATACCACGACAGGTACTTTTTCACCAAACTAAAAACAAAACGTAGAACTGAAGTACCATTAAATCTAAACCAAAATAGCGCTGTGTATTAATAACACGAACAACATAATGTGGCTCAAATTTTTTCTTTATTTTTTGTCAATATTGACAAGTTATATCATGAATTGAAGTGATTATCGTCAAAACATATTTTGATATTCAACATGACCGGCATTATTTGCATGTCATAATACTAATACCGTGACGAAATTGAGC